AATTTAATTTTTTCTCTCTGTCCTCCGGTGGAACCAGACGTGTCTCCCCCTCTCCCACCCGCTTCCCAGCTGCACTCTTTTGTCCTGTGAACCCTTAAAAAGCCCCTTTTTTTTCTGCATACCTCTTAATTCGAAGGATCAGCTGGACTCTCAACAAAATTGATCAACTTCTCCTGACAGGAGTCAGGGTACAAGGAGGACCCTCTTACCTCGACGGAAACAAATTGGATTCATGATGACAACTGGTTATTTTGCTGTTTGGTTAGTGAATTCTGGATTGTCTATAAATTTGTGTGGATGTGTCGAATCTCGACAACGCTCAGACTGAATTTGTGGAGCTGCAGCAGGGAGCTGGAGCAGGCTGTTATCAGGACTGCGGACTCTATAGCAGCACACATGAAGGGGAAATAATCTTTGAGAAGCTGTGAGCTCGACTTTGGTGTAAAGGATCAATTCGGCTGTTTTGGAGTTCCATCAGAAGAATACGTACCAGCGAGACTTTAATAAGGCAGAAACAACAATTCATGAGTTCTGCCTGACCCAAACGGTGGCCTTGACGCCAGACTTATCTCAACTCCTCTGGACTATGCTAAAACTTTCCCTTAAAAATTCAATGTCTTCACCGGCCTATATGTAAATGTATAACGTCTTTTTTATGTTGCTTTGCTGTGGTAGGTTTTTTTGATGCCTCAAATCGTGCCCTGTCTAGGACACGGCATGAGAGATCTTTTTTTTAATACCGTCTCTCGTCATGTTTTCTTCCCTTTTCTCATCTAAGCAAAATATTATTCTGAATAAGAATAAGAAGGCCGTGCTTTGTATAGTTGCAGCTTCGTGCATTCCGCACATCTTTCGGACGACTGTACGTACATGTTTGCGTTGTATCTCAGTGCAATGCCAATAAAGTTTATTCTGATTCTGATATTGGTAGGATGTTAGAAATGCATCTGCCAGGAAAATGACAAAGAGAAGATATATGGATGCAGGTAGAGAGGACATGGAGGTGGTTGGAGTGAGGACGGAGGATGCAGAGGACAGAGTGAGATGGAGGAGGAGGACTCGCTGTGGCGACCCCTGAAGAGGGAAAAGCCGAAAGAATAAAAAAAAAGAAGAAGAGGATGCATTTGTGTTTTAAATATTCTGCTCAGGTTCTGGACCGGAGGGTCTGATGGCGCTCATACAGAGAGACTTGGGACATGGCCCACTTCTACGTCTACAGATTAGAATGCACCAAATGGTTTTAATTTAAAATCTTTAAAAGGGAACAACAAGGTTTACGGTGTTTTACCTAATGTCAGCACAAAACGCAAATATAAATGTAATCAGATATATTTTTTGTTTTTAAATGACATCTACATTAGGCTTTAGTTATTTTGTCTTCTTTTTTATTTTTACTAGCATATGACTTCACATTACCTCAACTCTGTCATCTTTCTTTCTTGCTCACCTGCAAAGCTCTTGTTAATTTAACTGTCCACTGCTCTCCCACATCAAAATGTGATTTGGGAAGGTCAGAAAGGTGGATGTTTCATAAAGATCCATTTGGAAAAAGGTAATCTGTTATGTTTACGGTTATGCATCTTCTTATCCATTCATCTGTGCTTACAGTAGTCTAGACATTCATCTATCTGATTATCTGTCCAGTTTTAAGAAATGTTTCTTTTCTTCTGTCAACAACATCCATTTTTGCTAGTCTTTAAAAGAAGACTGCTTCACTGGTGGACAGAAAGCCACCCAAGTGGAAAAAAGGTAGATGGCTAACGGATATCCTGGGTTTATTAAAAAAATCTAATTATCTTCTTGGATGTGAACTGCTTTAATTTCTTGAGTCCCAAGCCTTTGCTGGTTTGGGTTATTTTTTTTATTTTCCTCTAGACGCCTAAGATTTGAAGAACCTCATAACCAAAAAGCAAATAAAAATATTTTTAGCAATTAGAAATTAAAAATATAAATGGGTTTCATTTAAAATTACTAAAAACAAATATTGATATGGTGTATCCTTCCGACTCCAATTTGTCTTGAGTTAATCCCTAAAGTCAAAAGTTTTGCCATTTAAGAAAATGGTCAAGTACTTCAAAACAATATCTAAAGTAGACTGACTCTGAAACCAAACACAGTTGCATGTTACTCAGTGTAAAGCAAACGGTAAAGTATAGCAATGTGTCATTTGAGTAGCAAGTGGGAAGTACGTAGTGTTCTCAAGTCCAACTTTCATTCACAAGATCAATTTCAATTTCTTGGTTTGCCATAATAAAACAGTTTTCTAACCTTACTTTAAGATGTGTTGAGTCCTACAATCTGAAGTGTTACAGCGGTTATTATTTTGAGCAATTATGACTTTCGTTTAATTTAGACCTACCTTAGATGAACTTAGGATTTTGAAAAACAACCCAAAATTGACTCTCTTCATCAAATAATAAAAATGTACTATCTAGAGCCTGACCGGTATATCGGTAAGGCCGATATAGATGCTGGAGACATATCGGTCTCTGATTATTTTCCCAATACGTGCCTATATAAACATTTCTAATTTAACCACTAAAATGCTGGGAAACAGCCGTAATTGTACAATATATCCAGCAGAGGGCGCATGCAGACTACTTTCAAGTCATGGCCTTAAGTTTCACTTTCACAGCACAACCGAAGTAGCAAACAACTAAATATTGTGTAACGTATTTTGCTGAACATAGGTAAGTTTATTTTGACTGATTTGTAAAATTAAAATAAATCAGCAATAATAAATTATCTTCAGTCTTCCAACATACTTATTAACTACATGCCTCTCAAGTTAGCAAGATAATGTTTAGATAACCTAGCATAAGTTATTGTCTTGTAAAACTTTATCCAGAACAATAAATCTAACATAGCAGTAAAATTTCTTTATTTTTTTTAATGAAAACTTTTATTTTACCAGGAAGAAATCCATTGAGATTATTAATCTCTTTTACAAGGATGTCCTGGGCAAAATATATCAGTGTTGGTAACATTATCTTTGTTGTCCTCAACGAAATGCATTGTTTGTCTGAAATCTTTACTTCTCTGCAAAAAATAAAATAAACTCCTCTGCATTCAATACTAATTAGGCTTTCACCATACACGACTGTTTAAACAATGAAGAGGGAAAAGCGTTTGTTTAATTTATATTTTTGTAACACATTTGATAACTTTATGGTGAATAGAGGAGGATAGAAAGTGTGAATGTACGTTAGGAAGACTGTTTCAAGACTTTGTGTTAAAACAAGTTTAAAAGTAGCGATTTAGATTCTTGGGGAGGACAAGCTCAAACATTTTCAGCCATTATATCGGTTATTGGCATCAGCCTCCACCCTCCCAATATTGGTATTGGTGATAGCAAAATTTTCCATATCGGTCGAGCTTTACAACTTTAGGAAGCAAGAAAGTCTAGTTG